TCCACAGGAAACTCTTATAAGTTCAAAGTGGGAACTAAAGCCAATGCATTAATGTGGTACACTTATGTTCGAGAAGCCACGAAAGAGAAACTAGATTATAAGGTCAGTATACTGTTGTCTGGATAGTCTTCTTATACCCTGTTAATACATGTAACTGCCTGTTTTGTAGGAAAAACTGAAGGAGGAAAAAAGTTAATGTAAGAAGAAGAATAAAGCAGCAGTAGAGCTTTTGTAATGTTGCATATCTCAATATCTACACGAAGGAAGGTTATACGCCTCTGGCTTTATAGGTCAGTTTTAATGTATTAAGATTCTAACATGGCGCCGAGACTTACGAGACTAACACCAAGAAAATTGTTTATTCGTACCGCAAGCTTTACGTCCCTTTTAGGAACCAAACTGTTAATTCAGTTTTTAAATATTCGTACCTTTCGTAATAATGTGATTGCTACTGAGGAGGTATTTCATCATTCAGTTTATTCAGTACAAGTTCACAGTCTATAGCTTTATGCATCGAGTATTTTTTGTCTTAACATTTTCCCATGACGCATTTGTAATGTCACTGATGCAATGCCCTTATTTTCTTGTATGCTAGGTCCCGCAGAATCTTATCACGTTTGAGGAAAGTGAAGAGCAACAAAGCTAACGAAACCTCGGCTAAGGGACAAGATTAAATTAAAACCTCGATACAGGAGAAGAAAAGAAGTAAAACGATGACTCCGTTCAGTCGGACTTCGACATTTTAATTCTCCATCAGCTGGGAGATCAGGTCATGCAAGTCATGTCAGTGATAGTCCTGACGCAACCTCGTTCCCAGGGTCTTTCTGTTGTTAAAACCCGAGATGGCAGTCACGACAAAAGGTTTGTTGACCGGTATGGCTGCCAGCTCGGATTTCAGCGCCTTTAAGACCGTGTTGGTGAAGTTGACTCTGATGTCCAGCGTGGAACAATTCGTGCAACCGTTGTGCACATTTTGAGGAAACATATGTTCTTGAATAAGTTTTTATACCAGCAATGACGACCCTAATGAAGGGACAGTTATTAAGATACAAATTGTTGCTGTTTTTATGATCGAAATTAAGAATAAATTTTATTGTTGATGATTTATAAGCTATAATAGTTAAGAAAATCATTTTTTATGAAAGAAATTTGTGCTGACAAGTCACTTTTAATGGCCAAGCACGGTTGTGCTTTAATGTGTTACAATGTACGTTTTGTCGCATACTTTTGCGAGATCATTTGTCGCCAGCGTCTGATTGAATTTTTAATTATCTAACTCGTTTATGGCTTTTATCTAAACAAGTTGGAAAACTCGATATTTTGGTAAATATATTTAAACTGATCAGTGTTGCCAACTTATCACTGTTGGTGTTTGCATTCAAAAATTATTTAAAACCGAAAAGCGTTCAAAGACCAGTACTTTTATAAATATTGGTATTCTGTTAAGTGTGGCAACACTTGCAGCGTTTATAGGTGCATGCCAAAGGGAAAATAAGTAAGCTTTATTACTTTCTCCTTTTGTGTTTGACTTCTTATTGACGGACATTGGAGTAGAATTTTATCGGATAGAAAAGTCCCAGAGCCTCGATAGCGGTTAAGAAATTTCCTTTGAGTAATTTATGAAGATGATAGACTCGCGGTTATTTAATTTACTCTGTCGGTTGTGTCACGCGCATGATTGGGACTGTTCATTGAATTAAAGCTATTTTGCTACAGTTTTAGGTTTAAGGAATCGATTGTCGTTACACCAGGTAGTCGCTGTCAGAGTAAAATAAGACAGTTTTCGTAAACTAGACTTTTAGTTAGATTGCTTCAGAATAAGCGGTATTTTATTTCAACCATGACATCTTCGGAGTAAAGCTTAATTATGTTGAAGACAAACGGACTGCTTATTTAATGCCATAAGGATCACTGTATTGTTTAATGTTCTTTGAAGACGTGAACGCTGAAACTGTTTTATTAATTAATTTATGAATCCTATTTTATTGCTATTGCCCTGTACTATTACAGAATAAATAACTTTGTTACCTTAGACTGTTGTTCCAATTTACTGGGCCCTTTTGTGTATACCTTAGCAATGGCGAGTTACAGTGAATTGAAAAAAAGAGACAATACTGACAAAAGTTCCATTGAGGCCTGAAACTACTGTTAAAATCGATGTTTAAAATCCTTTAAAATCCAAACTTTCGCCGATCCACGGCATCAGGGAAAAGAAAATATTCCGTGTAACGCTTACATGTAAATGTAAAGGGAAAATGTGTGAAAAGCGTACGGATGCGGAAAGTATGTAAAATGTACAAGAATAATAAGGTATGAATATGAACAAGAAACAAAATGATGTGCGAGAGTCATTTGCTTGGATTTTTAAGGATTTTAAACATCAATTGTAACAGTAGTTTCAAGCCTCATTTGAGGTTTTGTCATTATTTTTATTTTGAAAATGCCACCGAAGGACAATATCCAAAGATTAATGACAAAAAAGGCTTTAAGGTGGCTCAAGGTGACTCCGATTTTTTTCATTTTTGTGTTGGACTCCATTTATTTCGTTTCGTCAAATCTTATAATATTCCCGTTTGAACCAAGTTAAGGGTTAGAACACTTTTTGAGATATCACATTAAACCTGGCTGACCGTAAAATATATCCATCTTGTTATGTTTTTATTTTTTCCATTTAAGCTCTATTGTTTAGCTTGTATCCAATAGGCGAACATCTGCAAAAAAGCCAACTTTGATGGAATTTTTTTTTGTTTTTGCTTAGGAAAGATTTTAAAAGGGATTTCAAAAAAGTCTTTATAACTTAAGAAAGGTCTTTCATTTTTTTCATTGCATATTTTCCAAACCATGATAAGGCTATGAATAAATCCTACATTTCATATGCGTAGAGGTACCGTTAAATTTGCTACCCAATTCAAGGAGTCCTCCTGTAGCCCAGTGGTTACATTTCCGAGCTTC